AGAGTTGCCTCAGGAGATTAGAAAAAAAATTGTAGACAAGCATGTTGAAGATTAAGGCTATAAAACCATCTCCAAGCAGCTAGATGTTTAGATTGCACCATCTGTCATTAAGCCAAAGCGGACTACATGAGAGAAGACCAAGGAGGACACCATTGTTAATATATATATATATATATACATATATATATATATATATATATATATATATATATATATATATATATATATATAAGAATTCAGACTGGAATATGCTAAAGTACATGATGACAAGCCACAAAGCTCCTGAGAGAATGTCCTATAAAGAGATGAGACAGAAATTGAACTTTTTGCTGAGGCACATCAGCTCCAAGTTCACACATTTGCACGCTCTTTGCAAACGTGAAAGAGAAAAACATGTTTTTTTTTCCTGTGTGTTAAATGCAAAAATGGGGTTTCAATACTACAATGAATGTATGCAGGCTGAAGGCCCTTGTCTAGGGAACAAATGAGCTAAATAATTCAAGTATCTGACTAATACTAAGTCACCAGTCAGTGACTTGATGCAACCTGCTGGGTTCCTTTTATAGGAAACTTTTTACTGATTGGCTTAATGAACTGACCTGTATCGGAATGTTTATTATGTGAAGTGCCTTGAGACGACTCTTGTTGTGATTTGGCGCTTTATAAATTAATTTGAAATTGAATTGAATTGAAACCTGCTGTAGATAATGAATGGGCAATTTAATCATCAAATGCTTAAAACTGAAGACTGACCAGTGTAACAATTTATTCAGATTCACACAAAATACATTAGAGCAAGGTGCCTGAACTGTGGTGTAGGTAACAGAAAAACACTGAACTTTTCACCGCATCTACAGCTCTTTGAACAACCTCAGTTTGGAGAACCAGAGCTCAGTTCTGACCGGACAGAAGAGCTAATATCTAGTCACCCTGGGATTTTTTTACAAAGTGAATTAATTCCAACACAAGGCAAATCTAATCTTAAAGATTTAATAGTAGTTCATGAGAACGTTTTACCAACTTTTACAGTTAGTTATTCCGGTAGAAATATTGCAGTGCTTTGAAGGGAGACTAGGTAGTTTTGGCTTGCTTTTAGCACCCTCTAGAGTCCGATTATGAAACCAAAAGCAAAACCTACCTCCTCACTGTGCGTTCGTCTTTTAACACCTTAAGCTAATAGCTGAAATGTCTCCCCAGCATTTCTTAGTGTCTGCAGGAGTTGATTCATCACTAAATTAAACAAATCAGTTGTGTTCATGATAACATGCATGAACACAGCTGCACAATAATAAGCAGTGTGCTTCAAGGAGGACCTCATTTTGTGCAAACGGACGCATCGTCTCCAAATGCACAAGGAATGTAAATCACTGCCGGGAGGTGCTCTACGCATACGGCACCTTTAGTTACTGTCAGCTCAGGCAAGAGGAGAGATTTAAAGAGAGGAGTTATCCAGCACTGTGCGCTTTCCTGCAGTAACTGACAGGACGCTGCATCTGACCAACCAGTGGTGAAATGTGTCAACAGGCAGGTGGATTTATGGAAGTGGAAAAATGGTATCCAAACTGAAATATAGATCTGTTTTCTGGTATTATCTAAGCCACAAAGTAGCACATGTAACGCCATCAAACAGTACAGTACGTACCAAATTAACAGTGCTGCAGCACTGTGGTCTTTTCCTTCGGCCATTGTGCAGATCCTGTTTTAACTTTGTCTGCTTCGCTCCTGCCAGCATGTTTACTTTTTGTGTTGCTAGAAATTAACTGGAAGAATGCCGACATGAAAGGGCATGTGCCACCACCTGCTGTAGTAGGGTGGAACATACTTCATTCAATTACTTTGTTTATGTACTGTATACATGAACTAGGATAAAGGCTCCCAGTTTATTACCTCAGATCAACCTAAATTGACTTAGATGCGCATGTAAATTCACTGAGTGGCTCAGTTTGCTTTGCAACATGGATCTTATCTCCACAAATAACTCAAGCCTGAAGGAGTTATGCTGTGTTGTGGAGTTGCTAATGCTGATGGTTAGCTTCTGCTAAACAGGACGTTCTCCTCTCTCTCCTGGACAGTAAATCAACAACAGCTTTTTCCAGTCGTGGGCCAAGGTGAGGGAGTCCATGAATGTTAATTTTACAAAATGATGTTTATTTGACTGACTTTTCTAATCTGAGCATTTCCCCTTCTGATTTCAGCGGCTAATGCAGGAAATAGGGGTAGAAGACCATTTTCACATGTAGCCTCCATGTGAAACTCAGAGTGATGGATCATACTTCAAAGATAACAAGTGAAAAACTCTTTCCCAGTGAACTTTGTCTTTAAGTTTTCATTGCAAGTAAAGACAGATGAGCTATTTGCTACAGCAGACATGTACATAACCCTGCTTTTGCACGACTGGGGTATAAAACAACACATAGACGATAAAATGTTTCACAGAAGGTTATTTATGCAAGGATAAACAGCAGTGAGGGTTGCAACCTCAGACATGTGAAACATTTCCGATGTGATCTGTTTATTTTCTGGTTTGCTGGTTTCAGTGAATCTCAAACAAATAAAGAAAAGAAATACTCTTATTTTAACCTTGGTTTGCAATGTAGATCCAGAATGACAGTTTTATTTTGTGTACACAGGGTTTCCCTTACATAGGCGTAGCCGTGGCGGGCCGCCACAGCTGAAATCTCACCGCCACGCCTACAAGATCCCAAGTTTTTATTTTTATTTTTTTGCGCTATTTCCTGAAGAAGCAGCGGGAACTACTATGTTGTCGCTTGTGATCACAGCCGGCGGCAGCATGGAGGAGCAGGCAGGGCAAGGTGAAGTTACAGCATAAGTTACTGAGTTTTAAATTAGCAAGGTAGCAGTGGATTTAATGCTTTTTGGTTTACATGTTTCAATAGCATTAAGATAAATGAGTGTTGACGATCTTGACAGGGTTTCCTCCAGTGCTTATTAAGCCAGATTTTCCTCCCCCCACCAGGCTAAGCATCACTTATTCATGTAAAATTTATTTATTTTTTCTGACTTTAACCGCATCTAATACTGTATTACGATGTGTGCGCAAGAGCGACAACTTAAGATCGATGTGTGAGCAGCCTGAGAGGTCGGGTGTTTTCATCTGAACCCTGAAAACCTCCAGCAGGCTACGCTGCACTATTGAGGCGTTAGCGCGTGAAGCTAACAACTTAGCGACGTGATATGTCTCGGAGAAAGCGTAAAAACACGTTGGACGCTTCTTCTGAAGCGAGAAAATAACACTTCTTCTTAAGCAGAGCACGATGTCGCCTCGGCTCGTTCACGGCCGAGCCGGACTGAGTTCGATAACATTGACCCAGCACAGCCACTGGGTCGTTGGAGCTGCCCCGTGACTGCCTGATGGAAAACCAGCGGGTTTCATCAGACTTGTAAAGTTTCTTGTTTTTGCTGGGGACCCCCTGTATTTTACCGCTCTCTCCTGCAGTCTTCCCCTATTAAAATGATTCTGTAAATTCTGTGTATCAATAGAAAAAATGTCTGCCTCTGCCAGCTGCAGTAAATGTAGTTTCCAAATAATAAATAAGAGGTGCATTTATCTGTGTATCTCCTTTGATCCGCATTAGTGATATTCTCAGCACCAGAACAGTGAAGCAAAGAAACAGATTCCTGAGTTTGTTAGTAATTTTATTTATTAGGTGCATCTCACCTGTTCTATTTTTCTCTGAAATGAGATCAAATCAGTGCTTCTATGGGTTGTCTCCACTCTGCACTAGAAAATTTTACTTTGTTTAGAGACGTGTCATAATCCACCCCCCCACCCCCCCACCCCCCCACCCCCCACCCCCAAAAAAAGGCCCCACCGCCACAGCTGGAAAAATTCCTAGGGGAAACTCTGGGTGTACATAAACCTATCAGAGGTTCAATGCTCAGAGTTTCATTCATAACACAAATTAGCTCTGAACTGATTTTGTCTTCTTTGTGCTTTAAGTGCAATCGCATAAAGCTGTCACAAATGCACAAATACATACATAAATGTCCCAGAAAGCCCTGATGTTTTTCTGTTATACAAGGTTGCAGTGAGCTTGGGCTAAAAAGAAAAAAAAAAAACAATATAAAAAGAAACCCCAATGCATCTGTCTGCATAGCTGAGGTCCAGCCTTGGGGCCTGCCAGGCAGCAGTGAAGTGTGTAGTGATTTGACAAGGCCAGTGACGAGCACTGTAAATATCCGGCTGTCATGTGACTCACTTTGTGGCCCCAAGGAACCAATGAAAGGTCAATGTTTTGTGATGCCATTGCCAACAACTAAATTAAGTGACTTCATCTGTAGCTTATGCATTTGCCCCACTTTAGGAGGAGGATAGAGAGAAGGTATCAGTGGTGATCATTTACATGTGTGCCAGAAAACACAAGACGAAGCACGTATTCATACGACACAAACTCATCAGGCATGTGTTCATATGTAGAACTCACACTGATAGGTGAGAATCACAATCACAACCTCTGGGTTTGTCCTCATGTCTGTCGTGTCTGCCACTGATGGCGGGATATCAACACACTTCTCTCTTCTCTCATTATGTTAATTATAATTCCTGGTTTTTGTCTCATCACAGTGCAAATGAATGATGTCACAAACAAGAGACATATATATATATATATATATATATATATATATATATATATATATATATATATATATATGTATGTATGTATGTATGTATGTATGTATATGTATGTATATATATATATATATATATATATATGTATATATATAAATTAAGAGAAAGTTTCCGACAAATGTCCATATATTGTAAAAATCTAAACCGCCTCCAGTGGAAAGACCACAGATAGATTATCTGTCAGTCTACCCACTCATCACACTGATTAACCGGGAAACTTTAAATCCATTTGCAGTCAGCCACCGATCTCTGTGGATGGGTTTTACGGGTCTACCGTGTCATCATGGAGAAAAAACTGAAGAACGAAATGAAATCACACAAGCAACAGTTCTATGGAGACTGACACCAATTTTCAGATTTGTGTTCAAAGCCTTTAATACTCTAATGTCAGAGGAGCACAAAACAAGTAGCCAAAACCTCTGAGGAAAAAAAACAAACAAACAAAAACAGACAGGGACAGATAGACAGGCATTGGTGCCTGTAACACACTGGATATGGGTCAGCTTTTATTGCTAAGGATTTTTCACTGTCTTTGTATCTCTACTACATTACTACAAAAGCCTAAAAGGGTCAAACCGGTCTGTCCTTTTTCACCTGCTTATCTGAGTCTGGTTTGCTAGGTTGCAGCTCCTGCAGAGGACCAAAGCTCCCTTTCCCCAGCAACCATCGCCAGTTCCACCAGCAGGATCCTCAGTGGTTCCTTGCCAACATGGACATATAATCTCTCCAACATGTCCTTGGTTAACCCTCCTGCCTTTCGGAAATCACTATAACACCTCTCCATGAGGTGTTATGGGGCATTCTAATCAAATGACCAAACCACCTCAACTGGCTCCTCTGGACATGGAGGGACCATGTCTCTACTCTGAGTCTTTCCTGAATGTTCAGACCTTCACCCAAGCCCAGCCATCTGATGAAGAAAACTAATTTATGCTGCTTGTGTTTGCAATCTTATCCTTTCTGTCATTCCCCACAGTTCATGAGCATAGGTGAGAATTTGGATGAAGATCGCCCAGTAAATTAGAACTTTGCTTTCTGGTTTAGCTCCCTATTCACCACAACTGACTAGTTTAGTCCACATCCGTAGATCCCCAAGACACTTAAACTGCCCCACTTTAGGTAGGACCTCTGCCCCATTCTGTCCCCAGTCACTCTTTTCTGGTCAAGAATCATGGGCACGAACATAGAGATGCTGTCTTCATCCCAGCTGCTTCACACTCAGCAGTAAACCTCCCCAGAAAGCACTGATGGTTACTTCTTGATCAGGACAAGACAACTAAATCCTCCCCAAAAAGCAGAGACCAGATCCTCCTGCCACCAAACGCGACACCCTCCACCTAGGGTTGCCAACTCCCTGAAAAATAAATAAGGGACACCTCGCAGGCAGGGCCGGCCGCTCCAGGCCACCCTTCCCAGCGTGGTGATTTTTTGCTCTTTTTTTGTGTGTGGGTGTGAAAGGATTTTATTTTTTTACTATTTGACTTGAAGTTGGTTTAAGAAGATGCATAGTCTTTGTGATATGAAAACATGGGAAACAAATGATCATTTAGCCATTTATTTATGGCGTGAAATTACAAAATTATTATAAGTAACAAAGGTATTTTTCTTAAACAGAATACTGTTATGCTCAACTTTTTGTGCAAAATGACAAAAAAAAAGTAGGTCTCTTTCTTAAACGGTAGCCTGTTATGCTTTACTTTTTAGAATATAAATAACTCTCTTTAAAACAACTCTGTTCTGCTTAACTTAAAATTGTATAAATTAATAGAAAACAACAGAAAGAGCAACGCTGTAACTGCACATTGAGTGCAATTAGAAAAGTGCAAACAGAAAGTCTGTGGAGAAGCTGTAAACATATTTGTGCCTCAAAGGCCTTGACTGTAGCCTACGGTTGAAGTAAAAAAAAAAAAAGTCCAAACTCATGAACTCAAAAGCTCAATGCTACATTATGTGAAAACAGACTATTTTCTCCATTTGTATTTCTTTTGAGATCTTGCTGCATTTAGGAGTTGTCTTTCAGTACTGCAGAGTAAAACTCTGAGCAAAACATGTCACAATTTAGAGTGACAATGAGCTCACATCTAATTATTTCAGTAGAACATTTGTTCCGCACATCAGTCCACTTATTCTTCATGAGAGAGAAAATCCTCTCTGCCAATCCAGTGGAAGATGGGATGCTGAGTACAAACGATACAACAGGCTGGATGTTGGAGAGGTCAGCTGCCTGAAGAATTTCTATACACTTCTCTGCTGTTCCCTTGGACTGCCACTTTTCCTTCTCCTGAGGTCCTTTGGTGAGGGGCTCCAGAAGGCTGGTTGCAGTGACACACTCGTCATAAAGCTCATCCATAGAGATGTTTAACCTGCCAATGGAGATAAGAAGTAAACCTGGGTTATAAGCACCACATAGAACACTTACAGTGGTAAATAAATGGAAAACATTTATTGTATATTTATTACATTGTATAGCTTTTATACAATACAATAGTTCACTTTATTTATTATGTATTTATCCATCCTTTTAGTTTAAAATTATCCAAACAACATATAAACCAAGACAAGGCTACATCGAAACTAAACACCCAAGTTAAAAAAAAAATAGAAAAACTAATGACAAAACAGAAACAGACAACAAAAATAATAAAAATAATAGTAAACAAGCCCCAACACAGTGGGTTTTTTTCTTCATATAAATACCTTCACTTTAACCAGAGGGTTTAAAAAAGCAATGTTTACTTACCATATCTGCTTCTGCCGTGGCTTTGTGGACGACAAACTGATCGAGGGTTCCCCGTAATTTCACGTCCTTTATGTTTTTCATGTGGCTACTACTAGACGCATGTTGCTTGAGGTCAGTGAGTCCACCATGCCCTTTGGAAAAACTGCGCCGGTACACGGTGCAGTGCGCTTTATAGGTGTTATCGCGCAGTTTTTACAGCCAGGAATTTTCCTTTTCCCATTCCTCCCTGTATTTTTGAAGCCTTTTTTCTTCTTTCTCGGAGGGGTACTGTCGTCCGAGACTTGTACAGCAGTGTCGGCGTTCGTTTCCTGGTTGGCCGTGCTGTTTGCTGTCGTCTGTTTTCTTCCGGTATCTTCTCCCCAAGCGACCGTTCCTCGACCAATGAAATAAGCGGTAATCTGTATCGTCATATTCGTATGTAAGCATGCGGTCAGTTCATTGGTCACAGAGCAGGCGAAGGGCTGGCTTTCAAACAAAGCGTTAATTCCGGTAATAGACTACAGACTAATTTTGATCCATACTATATTACGGGACAAAGTGCGTCCCTTTTGAGTTCAATACGGGACGCGCACTTGTGTTTCTAAATACGGGACGATTCCGTTTTTCAAGGGACGGTTGGCAACCCTACCTCCACCCCATGGCTACGTCTAGAAATTCTGCTCATGGAGACCATAAAAAGAACCAGTGACAAAGGGCAGCCCCGGCAGAGTCCTACCCTCACCAGGAACAAGTCCAACTTATTGACAGCAATGTGGAACAGACTTACACTCTCTTTATACAGGGGCTATCCACCCATAGTCTTTGAGTGCCCCATAGGGTGCCCCTTTTCCAGATCCACAAAACACATTTGGATTGATTAGCCAAACTTTTATGCCACATTAAGCACCCTAGCAAGGATAAAGACTTGGTCAATGGATCCACGTCTACAACGAAAACCACATTGCTCCTCTTCAATCCAAGATTCAACTAGTGATGGGACACCCTTCTGCAGTACCTCCAAGTAGATCTTTCCATGAAGGAAGGAAAGTGTGATTGCCCCTATATTTGGAACGCAACCTCTAGTTCCCCTATTTTGAAAATGGGAACCACCTGGGGTAGTGATTAGGCACTTCACAGGTACCACCCCTAATATACCACCCCTAATATACCACCCGTAATATACCAGCAATAATGTCCACACAATGTTGCAGAGATGTGTCAACCAAAACCTGGGACGTAAATTTGGGGGGGGACGGGTGGGACATGTCCCCCCCACTTTTTCAAAAGGCAGTTTTGGTCCCCTGCACTTTTTTCCGTCCAAAAACAATGTTACGCGCCATTAAATGGATTTAGTTGAGCACTAGGACCGAAACGGAAACCGGTTTCCTATTAGACCCGCCCAAAAGCTAATCTATTGGCTCTGCTGATACTTGCTAACGTATTATTGGCTGTTGCTGCTGTCACTCAAGTTGTAAACAGTCAGAACGTGCTCACGTTGTTTTGCTAGTTTGGAGCCGCTAGGGAACACCGGTACTGAGTCACCGTCAACTAGACGCTGTGTAATATCAGAGCTCAGCTCAGCTTCCATTACATAACATTTGAATAAGTGTTCATTTGTGAGTCTTTGGTAGTTAGGCACAGCCAGGAGGCAGCATGTCAAGAAAACGAAAAGTGGATATAAGAGACTTCTTTCAAAGTCAAAACGTAAGTTGGAACATGTGACACCCCTGCATTAAGCTCACTCACCTCCTCCTTCACAAACATACTCAAAACTAACTTTTACAAACTCATCTCCTCCACATAACTGACTCCTCAGACACAATTTATTCGTATTATTATAATTATTGTTTTATTATTATTACTATTATCATCATAATTATTATTACTAGTAGTAGTAGTAGTAGAAGTGTAACTTCAAAACTTTTATCATTTAACTTTATTGTAAACTTATCTATTGCAATGTATATGTTCACATTAAAAAGCTCTGAAAAATGAACAGTATCATCGTCAACAGATTTTTTAAGCTTAATGTCATAGATGTACACTTTTCATTAGATTTATCTTATTTTTTCCATTTTTTGTGTGTGTTGAAATGCAACAACTGTTTAAACACTTTTAAGGGAAAAACATATTTAATATGTTTTTATACACTCAAATGTTAGGGTGATGATCATGTGTAAAACATTAGTTCAGCATGTCCTCTAACACAGCAAATGAACAAACGGCCAGATCTCAGGAGGGACCGTTTATGTATAAATAATTTTTATACTTTTGACTAGGCCTGGGAAAGTAACAAATTTTGCTGGACGATATTTTGTCCAACAAATTGTTGATGATAAACGATATCATTGTCAACATTATCTAGACCAAAATAACCACTAATATAATGTTAATATATCATAATAATGCAAGTACACCCTTTAAAATGCAACAAATAAACCTTCATTTAACATTGAAATGTCCAGAACCAGAACTTCTAAATGAATAAAAATAACAAACAAAAATTAAATAAAAAAGGAATCTCACTCCCTGTTAGAAAATGTTGCACCAAAAACAATAAAAAAAGACCCAAAACAATAAATACAATGGCCTATCCATTGTCAACAGCCAAAACTGCACTTCAATGATGATAATAAATAAAAATAATAATAGAGTTGTACATTTTTTAACTTTGATATATATATATATATATATATATATATATATATATATATATATATATATATATATATATATATATATATTGAGGATGGAAAATTATTGAGATGGGCATGTGACGTGTCAAGGGGTCTTTACATAACACCCCCCACCCCAAATCCGCACAAGCCTGCTGTGTCCCCCCCACTTCTGAAATCAAAATTTCGTCCCTGACCAAAACAGTCCAATGTCCACGGCCTTGAATGAATTAGGATGAACCTTGTCAACTCCCCGGAGCTCTGCCGCAGCAACTTCTGCTCCACAGATTTGTTGATCCACCCCTGCCGGCTTTGATCCCTCACTGGAATATGTGTTCTGGGAATCAGGAGCTCATCAAAGTACAAAATAACAGAGTTTATTTTTGTAAGATACCAAGTTTATTTTTTTTTTTAAATTTTTTTTTTTGTGAGTTCTTGAGATTTCTTTTAGGTCCTTCATGGCTGAGAGAAGAAAGCTGCCAAGAAGTAAAGAGGAACATTTCTCAGGATCTGGCAATAGAAACTTCTGATCTCACGTTATTGTTTACTTCAGTGGCCCGTGTGGAACTCCATATATACAAAACTTCAATAATATCCCAACCCTCAGACCATCCTTGTTTAGTAATTTCTGTTTATCAGCAACAAAACCCTTCAAACCCTGTCTGGAAAAATATGTGGGGTTAACTGCTTATATAATTACAATTACTTGATAGTTTAGATGTTTTGAACAACCTCGTAAATGAATTTCAACATAACCTTTTAGGCATTTTGTTGCAAAATGTCTGTATTCAGAAATACACAACCTGCTCCCTACAACGGCTGGACTGGTATTAATGTAAATGTGAAAAAACAGGCTTGTTCCAACGATGTTGAGAATAATCTAAATCATGGCACCATTTCAGCAGCCCTCCAGGCTCATCCTTGTGATATACCAGCTAAAACTTGTGGTGTGTGCATTAGGTCATCAATATCCAATTAGCTTAACTGGTAGAGTGGAAGGTTATCACCGCATTGATGACCTTTATTTGTCATTGTGTGTCTTATTGTAGCTTAATGTGAAATGACATTAAATCAATGCTTAGATGGGATACAGATGTCTTCTAAACTGTCAGGGTCGCCACCTCCCGGTGCCCTACTGCCACTCGACCCTAACTCTCAGACTCCAATTCCCAGCATGCCTTCTCACCGGGAATCCTGTTTTGTCATGACGCCAACGTTGTAAACGTTACAAACTCCAAACTCAAACCTACGACTTCCAGTAAGTCATTTTCAATTCCTTTCAATTCAATTCAATTCAATTCAATTCAAGTTTATTTATGCAGCGCCAAATCACGACAAGAGTTGCCTCAAGGCGCTTGAGTAAACATTCCAATACAGTTCAGTTCAGTAAAAAGTTTAGAAGAAGAAGAAGAAGAAAATATCATTTCTATAGCACTTCTCAAGATAAAAATCACGAGGCGCTTCAAAAAACAAAAACACAAAATATAAAAATTGTAAAAATAGAAAATAAGCATTTTGAAAATGTTTAAAAATATGTTTTAAATGAACAAAAATAAGCAATTGCGATTTAAAAGAAAAAATGTTAAGAAAGAGAGAGAGTAAATAGGAAAGAGGGAAATCAGTGGATCCTGAGGAAGGTGGAATAGGTGGGGAGAGCAGAATGAAGAGAGAGTGGTGAAGAAGGTCATCCAAAAGCCAGCTTGAACAAGTGAGTCTTCAGCTGCTTTTTGAAGGAGACCACTGAGTCCACCGATCTCAGGCTCAGGGGGAGAGAGTTCCAGAGTCTGGGGGCTACAGCAGCAAATGATCTGTCACCTTTGGTCTTTAGCCTGGTGCTGCACAACCAGTAGGCTTTGATCACTGGACCTCAGGGACCTGTTGGGGGTGTAGGGACTAAGAAGATCACCAATGTAAGATGTTGCTTGTCCATGTAAGGCCCTATAGACCAGAACCAGGATCTTGAAATGAACCCTGAAGTTGACTGGCAGCCAGTGAAGCTGGAGGAGAAGCGGGGTGATGTGGGTGTATTTGGAGGACTTGGCCAGAAGCCGAGCACAGGCATTCTGAACCACCTGCAGACGGTTCAGGGAGGTTCTGCTCAGACACGTGAAAAGAGAGTTACAGTAGTCTAAGCGTGAGGAGATGAAGGTGTGGAGAACTGTCTCAAGTTCAGAGCGAGACAGAATGGGACTCAGCTTAGCAATGTTCCTGAGATGGAAGAAGGAAGAGCGAACAAGAGAACTGAAATGAGAATCCAGGGTGAGAGCTGGGTCAAAGGTCAGGCCAAGATTCCTGACGGAAGGTTTGGTGTGGGAAGCAAGCTGACCAAGAGAGTCTCTGGCTTTGGGAACCAGCTTGTCTGGGGCACAGATGAGGATCTCAGTCTTATCTTCATTCAGCTGTAGAAAGCTCCCAGCCATCCAGGTTTTGATAGAGTCTAAGCAGGTGTGTAACAGCTGCAGCTTAGACATCTCATGGGGCTTAAAGGAGATGTACAGTTGGATGTCATCTGCATAAAGATGGTAGGAGATTCATTTGAAGGAGCTCAGGATGTGCTGACGAGGGAGCAGATAGAGGAGGAAGAGCAGAGGCCCCAGCACAGAACCTTGTGGGACACCATGGGTAAGAGAGGTGGTGGAGGACCTAAACTTGGAGACGGCCACAGAAAGGGAGCGCTCAGAGAGATAAGAGGAGAACCACTCCAGAGCAGATCCTGATAGGCATACCCAGTCTCTCAGCCTCTCCAGTAGCAGGTGATGGTCAACAGTGTCAAAGGCTGCAGTCAGGTCCAGCAGGACCAGAACAGAACAGTCCCCTGCATCACTGTGAGTCAGAAGGTCATTAGAGACCCTAAGAAGAGCTGTTTCAGTAGAATGAGCTCTACGAAAACCTGACTGGAAGCAATCATAGATGTTATGTTCATCAAGAGCAGCTGTGAGTTGTTTAGCCACCAGTGTTGGGAGTAACGCGGTACAAAAGTAATTAATTACTGTAATGCATTGCTTTTTGCTGTAATGTGGTAATGTAAGGCATTACAGGGAAAGAAAATGGTAATATTTACTCGGTACAATTGTCAGTAACGCGGTAATTACAATGCATTTTAAACCCAGAATCAAGCTGCGTTTCTTAAAAATTCAAACTGCGGGAAACCTGAAAAAAGTTCCAGTATCTACATATATGACGTCATTTATGGACTCAGCTTTGCAGGCAGAGAGGACGCAGCGGTAACGGCTCAACTACTCCAGCTGCATCCTGCGCGCGGCCGCTGTAACATTCACAAAATCGCTCCACTAAAACAAAATAATTCACCTGCGATCGTTCATATCAGCGCATGTTCTCTGGTATTCTGTACTTTTCTGACGTGCTTTGCCTCAGCTGAGTTAATCTGGGCTCCGGTGATTTCAACTCATTGCTGCTGGAGCGCCGCACATGTGAAGATCCCTTTGGCTGATTAGTTAGAAAGTAGGAAATCTAGGAAACGGGTTTTCTGGAAGACGGAGAAAACATGCAGCATGCAGGACGGTTAGAGAGAGAAAGGGCAGGAAATTATTCAAATAAAATCAAGAAAACAAAACAAAGTGCTTGAAAAGAAAAAATGTAGGTAGATTTATCCCCAATACTCATTTTTACCATTGAAAAGCAATAATATATAAGCATTTAATATTTATACATGTGATAGAATCAGATCACACCAGAAGTCAGTCCCACATCCAGGGCCGTATCAAGGCATTTGGGGACCAAGGCAAATAGGCTTGGAGCCCCCACCACCTCACTCGCCGCTCAGTTAATCTAAGATGGCAGCGTGCTGAGAGTACAGTTTGTTGTTGCATTTATTACATAAACAATCCTTCTAAAGAACTGTTTTTAACAGCAATCCTAGCTCAGACACCACATCACCTTCCACCGGATGTGTCATGAGTTCGCCAGGCATCAGACTACCAAACTCATACTGAAGTTGCTTTCTTGAAAGTAACTTAGAGTAATGCAAAAGTAGTGTAATGCCTTACATTTTAAAATCAGTAATATTGTAATGTAATGAATTACTTTAAAATGAGGGTACCAAGTAATAAATAATGCATTACAGTTTTGAAGTAACTTGCCCAACACTGTTAGCCACAACCTTTTCCAAGATCTTGGAGATGAACGGAAGTTTAGAGATGGGTCGGAAGCTGCTATGGAGAGAGGGGTCGAGACTCGGTTTTTTAAGAAGCGGGTGGATTACAGCGTTCTTAAAGTAAGCAGGGACCTGACCAGATACCAGAGAAGCATTAATTATAGAGAGCACGCTGGGACCGATGGACTGAAAAGCACTTTTAAACAAAGATGAGGGTAAGATGTGGAGGGGGCATGCAGAGGTCTTCATAGAGTTAACTAGTTTGGTTAACTCAGGCAAAGAAACAGGAGCAAAGCTATCTAGGATGATGGGCCTGGTTGGAGTCGGGAGAGGCAGCGATGAGGCTGAAGGAGAGATGCTAGATCTAACCTTATTGACTTTGAGCACAAAGAAAGACAGAAAGTTCTCACAGTCTGCAACAGAGTGGATGGAGGCTGTAGGAGAGGCAGGAGAGACGATGCTGCTGATGGTGTTAAACAGCACCTTAGGGTTCCCTTTGCTCTGGGACACCAGGTTGGAAAAATAGGAAACCCTAGCATCTCTGACTGCAGAGTTAAAGGATGTCAGAAGATCCTTTAGGTGCAGCAGATGGACATGGAGATGGGTTTTCTTCCACAAACGCTCAATTTTTCTGCATTGGCGCTTCAGGCTGCGAAGGCTGTCAGTAAACCAGGGAGTAGGGTTCACTGCAGGAACTGATCTGGCTCTGACAGGACAGATGTTGTCCAGAATGGAGAGGCAGTGCTCATTGAACTAAGAAGTTAAGGAATCTGGGTCATTATCAGAAGAACAGGGTGGATCAAAAGCAGCAGAAAAATTGCTAGCTGTGCTCTCATTAAGGAAACGAGAACTAACCATACAGCGAGCAGGA